ATTTACAGGCCATTGGACTAAAGGCACCATAGAGAGAATGTAAGAAAATTACCATGTTATCATCACTTTTTGATGACATCACAGTCTTATCTGACTGAATTTTTGTACCAAACCTACAGAAGTGACTGACGCGACATCCTCCGTACTGCTGGCTCAGAGCAGCAGCAGGGAGACAGTTGCCAAGGAGACGGTCATTGACCTCTCCTCCGGCGTCACAGATGGGCTGAAGAATCTGATAGACGTCCAGTCTACCGACCTGTCACCGATGGAACAGCTGATACAGGAGAAAAAGGAACAAGAACGTCTCAAGTCTAGAGTATGTACCAGTTGCTCCCTGTCGGAAAAAGTAAAGGGTAGTTTCGTAGGCCAGTTAGCTATAGGTTAAAATAGGCTTTTTAAGTGGGTTATTAATGCACTGTTTCTAGGGTACAGTATTGGAAGGCAGAGCCCATCTCTTTCCTTCCACTGCCCTTTACCTCCTCAACCAATGTCAGGTTTTCGTTTTACAAGGCAGAGCCCATGCCTCTCCTTCCACTGCCTTTACCTCCCCAACCAGGTATTCGTTTTACACGAGGAAAGTCGTGTTATTAAAGTGACTTTCCCATTGCCCAACGTCTAGCCCGGAATGCCAGAGATAACCTGTGCCACTTAGATACAGTTACTATTCTCTCTCTATCAAAAATCCATTCAGCTGACTGGGACTCCAAATCGTGGGGTCGTTCAGTGTGCGCGACTCGGAATCAAGAGGTCCCGGGTTCGAGTCCTGACATGCCACCGATCGATCTTGTGCCCTTGGGAAAGGCACTTTACACGACTTTCCCCACTAGACTCAAGTGAAAATGAGTATTGTCTGTCCAGTATTCGTTTCTATGTGCGGTACACAACACCAGCAACAGCTGCCTCTGTTCCGCATGTATTGCAATTTCAATAAATCAAAATCAAATCAAATCAAATTTGCCCCCAAACTACAGGTGATTGGGGAAATGAGAGATCTGATGCAGCTGCTGGATGCTGCAGCAGACAGACTGCTGGAGGAGGCACCACCGGAAGGAGAAATTACGTACTTCCGGTCTGACGGTGTGATGACGGCGGTGAAGAAGGACATCCCTGATGTCGGTGTCGTGCCTATCGGCCAGGATGTCGGGTCTGTTGTGTTTACCAAGGAGGACAACCTTCCTGAGGGCTCCACTATGAAGGTAAGCAAACGCCCCTAAAGCCAGGTTGTTCCAGCTCACGTAACAATTACAGTAAATCTGTATAAGACTACCACTATAAGAGGGCTGTTAAAATCTAGTCAATGTGAACAGGTGGTCATCACTATAGATAGAAAAATCATCTAAGGGCCACTAATGTGCACACATTGGCCAGGTGGTCCTTATGTAGAGGTAATTATAGTGAAAGTACACGTCTGACTATATATCAATGACCAGGTGGTCCTTATGTAGAGGTGGTCATTAGTACAAGTTTCGTCGCGATCGGTAATAACAGCATGTCAAGTTGGCATGACTGTGAGAGGTAAAATATAAAGACATTTACCCCCGTATCTCTCTCAGGTCCTGGCATTTGTCAAGGATCCATTTGTCTGGAGCGTCGAGAAAACCGAAGTATCCTCATCAATTGTCATGGTGACAATCACCAAGGATACGGATGACGTCGGTGGAAGCCCATCGAACATAACCGTTATCGTCAAACAGAAAGTACAGTTTGGGATCACAAGCGACACAGAGCAACAGTACCACGACACTCTGCCCACATCGTACAGGCAGAACCTTGCTGATGCCGGCAGCTCGTCCTTCCCTCTATCCAAGGTCCCTGACGTCACGGACATGACGTATCACGCCGTGTACATCTCTGACGAAGGTCAAGTTCCTTTGATCAGATTCACCATCGATGACGTCGACTCAGAGCTGCAGGTGTACTTCCGGTTTCACGACTTCCCAACTGAGGAAGAGTTCGACTACACCATAACTGTCAAGCCTCCTGAAGTCACTGATCACGACGGTTTTGAAATGCCGTACGGCCTGGTGTACTCCAGTTTTAATACATCATTAGTTCCGGAGATCCAAAAGGAACGAGGATGGATCTTTGTTGGAGTAAAGAGAAAAGGTAAACGTTGCCTGATAACTTTTATCGCATTTCTTAAAGCAGTTTAATGGTGCTGATCCATCATTTCATATGTCAAAAATGAGCTTTTATGTTGTAGCTAATATGAGAAGTTTCAATTTATACTGTCCTTCACTTGTAATTATCATCAACTGCAATAATTCGCAATAAACGTAATTGTCCATTTTTCATTATGCAGTATGAAAAGATGTACATCTGAATGAAAGTATTACACTCCCAGGACTGAAAACAGTGATATTTTCTCATGTTTAATTAATATTATAGGCGGAGACCTGCCTCAAACTGGACTGAGAAGACTGCTGACGTCAGCGGTCCGTGCGACAGCGCCCCCTGCCGACTCTGCAGGCTTTGTGCTGCAGTCTGCAGTAGTCTCCTGTCTGCTGCGGGAAATGGACAACCACACCTGGGACAGCCGCACCTGCAAGGTTCTGCCGACTTTTATATATTATCTGATCTGATAGTATCTTACCCGTTGGTTTGAGGTAATATGTAATCATTTATACTAATTATTTAAAGATTCTTTATTCTTCTTAAATTATCAAGTACTTAGAGAGAGAGAAAAAAAATTGACTTTGATTGACATACAATTGATACCACCAAGTACTGTTTGGGACGCTGTGTAGACAGAGGAATGACGTTGATGCAGGTCACTCACAATGCTGAGCAGACCTAATCAAGTACAGATAGTAGTACAATTGATACATTTTTTTTCCTATCCTGAGGATTGATTAAATGAGACGTTGTGCTATCGATATGCACCGCAGGTTGGGGTTCAAACGAACGAAGACACCACACTGTGCACGTGTGACATGACACGGCATGGCAGAAGTTCTAAAGTGACTCTGGCAACATCATTTCTGGCTGTTCCGAATTTCGTGGACTTCGACAAGTTTGGTAGCAACATCGACAAGTTGGCCACAAATTATACCGTGTTTGGGACGATCTTAGCGCTGTGGATGGTATTTCTGGTGTCCCAACTATTGACATTCCTCATTTGAATAAAAAGAATTCAATATCTGCTTTTTACAGAACCAGGTTGCTATGAGCACGGCAGTGGCCGACAGCTCTGCTCTTGGACAAGCAGCGACGTTCGCCACAGCAAGCCCCAGACTGGCGACGGTCGTTCCCAGCGTCTCCACCATCCCGTCCGAAGTTCCCGGTGCGGAGTACGTGTACGTGGTGTGTGTCCGTACGGGAACACAGCCTGATGCCGGCACGGCGTCTGTGGTCGGGCTCATGGTCACAGGGGCAGACGGCAGGACACCCATGGTCACTCTCAATCCTGATGGCTTGGTGAGAACTACTTCTCTAATCAAGACCACCGCATGAAATTTGATCTTTCAATTAAACCATGCGTGAGGATTCTGTTTCTTCACTCCAATGGAAAAATCGAACCTTTACCCACGCTTTACCCACGTATCCTTAAAGGATTTTTAAAGACGTTTTTGCAGTGAACAGTGTGGACCTGATGGTTCCATCGTCTAAACAATGAAGCTCGGTTCAATCAACTGTTTTGTTTATGTCTCTAAGTCTCTAAGTCTCATATTGCAGAAGAAGCAGAAACCATATGTACAATCATGATCATAAATTTGAAAACGTCTTTAGGTCCTGGCCAGAGGTGGTGACACGTACCACATCATGTCGACTCCCTCCTCCATCGGCCAGATCCAGTCTGTACAGGTCTGGCACGACGGCTCCGGGAAGGGCAACATGGAGTCACTCTTCATAGACAACATCAAGGTCTGGGACATACAGACATCACAGGGGTGGGTACAGTAGAACTCGTTTCTCTTCCCAGAACTATCGTAGAGTGGAACTCGTTGTCTCTAGTCTCCACCAGACTCCTTGTCAGGCCGAATAAATAGTAGAAATCGGCCTAGAAAGAATGTAGCTGGCCAGGGAAGCTTGCCGGCCATAGCTGAGGGTCCAGTTTGCCTGCACGGTGTCTGGTGTCACGGATACTACGTTGCCACCATGTACAGTAAAAAACGGGTCGTCGTTACTAGGTAGATTTAAACCTCTTTAGACGTGACGCACAGGCAGGCATCACAAGGGTGTACGATTAGGCTCTTTGATTACTAATTTCTGTCTAAACGGGGCCAGTAATTGTTGCTGGGGCAGCCTTTGTAACCCCTACTTCTCATATTGGGTCAGTTAGTCCTTACTCTCAGTGAGTCGAGCATATCTAGAGCATTGATGTTGTTAACATGCCCTTGGCCAGGATTTTGAAAGGAGGGGTTCTTCCCACGAGGGACCAGCGGGCCATTTCACCGATTTTCTACGATTCCAGCCCCGCTGGTGATACAAATAAGTCAATCTTTTCAAGAAATATCTTGGACCTTTAGATAAAAAGTGGACCAAAAAGTGGACCTTTGAGTCTTGTGGGGGGGGGGCGTCCGAACTGGCTACGGGCATGTGACATAGGGAGAAGAAATACTGTTCCAGTAACCATTGGATTGTGGCCTTTACAGATTCTATTTCCCGTGTAACGCCTGGCTCTCCTCCAGCAAAGGAGACGGAAGGACGATCAGGACCATGACGGCAGCTCCTGTTGGAGAAATGTGGTAAGTAGCGTTTGTAGTGAAATGTTCCGTGACCCTGCTTCTTTTCTCTGTCTTGAAGAATTGGATAGCTTTGAGACATATCCTTATATGTACCTTAGGATGTCAGAGTACACCCTACCGACGTTTTCGTACCTTCTGTACGACGACCACCTGCTGCTGTCAGCCGTGTGTAACTCCGGTGTAAGACACTTCAGCCGGGCACAGCGGATGGTCTGCTGCCTGACGCAGATCACCCTGTGGATGGTGGGCAGCGCCATGTGGTACGGCTTCAAACTTGGCGCCGGCGATGTCGTTTTGCTAGACGCCGGCTTCGTCACTTTCCGCCTTTCGGAACTGGCTGGTGTAGCAGCAACATCGTTCACGGTGTTCCTACCAGTTTACGCCATCCTTGTGCCGATATTTTGCACGCAGCATCCGTTGGTAGATCAGATCCCTTCGGGACTGTATGAAACACCGACATCTCCATCCACCTGGCGATTTCCGCTTAAGACGGTAGCGTGGATCCTCGCCATCCTGACGTCTGTCAGCAGCAGCTTGTTCGTGATCGTGTACAGTCTACAGTTTGGAGCGGAGAGAAGCCAGGCCTGGCTGAAGGACTTTGTCCTGGCCTTCATGTTCTCTACATTCGTACTGGAGCCTATTCAGGTCGGTATTCTTCAGGTATCTAGCTTTCTTCGTTTATTTCAATAACCTTTAGGCATATACCGCTATCCACAGAGATCACAAGATACAGACGCACAGGTGGCAACAATACTAAGAAATAATTATGAGATGTCTTGATTTAAATTTAAAAAAAAACATTGAATGGCTTACCACGGCGGTCTGTCACTACGGTATTCTTTCCCATTGCTAAGGGGGTTCGAAAACGTATCAGGTTACAAGACGCAAGTCTGGCCTGTTTTGAACTACCCGTAAACCACTTGAAAATAAACAAATAGTATTGAAGGGTAATTTCCGTCAAAATAAAATGAAATTATCGTGTTTACATAGGCTTAATGTTAGTTGTTTAAGTTAAATTACAAATTTGGAAAAATCTCGCTCCAAAAGACGATTTTTTGCGGGATATGTAGCG